ATGGTCTGTGTGATCTTGGAGAATATTTCTGTGAGTCCTGGAGCTGAGCACAGGCTCCCTGTGTTCAGGTCCTGTGTTCGGCTCTCAGCTGTGGATGYCACCATAAGGGACTTCTCCCAAATCAAGTCCACATAGATATTGACAGTCATTRACTCGCTGAGAGATAGGCTTTCATTGTGGAGGGAATCCGCAAGTCATTAACTCCACTTTTCTATACCAAAACCAAATTGCAATCATGTCACACCAAGCTGCAGTATCTTACTGTTGGTATTGAAGTTTTGTCCAATGTCTAATCTAAGTTTCCCRAGCGGTTTGGTTTATGCTTCTTAATGTTTTATTCTTCCTGATCTTTCTACCAGGAACATGTTAGTTCCTTATTCTTTGCAACAGCTTTTTAGTTCAAGAATATTAACTTTTTCGATCTTAGTTCCTCAGAGAAAAAGSACACAGTTCTTGCAGTCTTCCCTCGCATCAATATTCACTGACTCCCCTGCCAACTGTTTCATCTCTTACTTGAAGTACAGTGCACTAAACAGGTTATGGTCTTCCAGGTGAATCCTAACTGTGGRGATCAGCCCACATGGACTCTTTCAGTAGTCTTTAAGACCCTTTAAACATCCTGATGTGAGAGCTTTGCCATTCATGCTTAGCCTGTTCCAACATAATCCCTGGTCTTTTCTCTTGTGAACTGGTACCTAGACAGTTTTGCAAGTACAGATGMGTATTTCTGTGTAGGCATTTTGCATAATTGTATTCCATCCATTTTAGATGGCTTCTCTAAATCATATCAAGAACATTTTAAATTCTGATTTTTTTAGTATTTATAACATCTGCAGTCCTTCTTGTTCCATCTGCAGATTAATACTCATACTTCATATTAAATCTTCTATGCTTCAGTTGAAAATATAAAATAAAACCTTATACAGGACCAAGGCCCACATAATTCCTTACAAAACATATTTTCATATATTAGGATGGAATTACCCTGTGGATACAATTACCCAACCAGACTTCACCTCCTGCCCTTTCCCACAGCAGTTTCATTTAGAACACAGTTCACTAGCCTGTCCATGAGGAAATTATAGGAASTACTAATAAAGGCCTTGCAAAACATTAAATAAAATTAATTCAAGCTATGTGACATCTCCAGCTAGTACTTCAACCTCCCTTTAGGAGTCCTAGAATGAAGTTGCTCAGCAGACTGGAAGACATCTGATGTGATGTTATTCTCTAAGCAAGTTTTGCATATTTTAGGCTGAAATTTTGGCCTCTAAATAATTGCACTGTCTGGTTTCTGCTTGATCTTTTCATAAGATTGATGAAAAAGGGAGAAAAAAGGAGCATTAAACTCTTCCACTTCCTTAACATTCTCTGCACACCCTCATCACAGAGTACTGGTCCAAACTTCCTCTTGTTTTTCTCTTCTTACCTGTAAAATGTATTGTACTTTTGGTACGTTTTGCTGGTGGTATCTAGTCCATTTTATCTATAGTAACTGTTTACACTCCTCCCACACACTGTCCCATGAATGGAGGGAGTATGTGCTGGGTTCCCAACCAGCTGTTCTAGTCTCTACAGATATCTCTCTTACAACAGAGGTCAGTTGAAAGGTTGTGAATTAGCTGACTTCTGCTGAACTCCTTWCTTTCCTCTAAAATGCCATAGGTTGGACTTGGTTTCTTATTAGCATTTCTTGAATGAACTGACAGGTCTCCATAATCTGTTTTTCCCTTAGATTTTCCTCTTATTAGATCTTCCCTACCTATTCTCTGAGTTTATTGACATCTGCCTTTTTGAAATCCAATGCTGTCAGTCACTTGGATCAAGTGGCAGAAGATGACACTATTTTTGCAGCAGTGCTGATTTCTTGTAAAAYGTCACATCTGGCAGTAGACTTTGAGTTGTATGTTACACTGCCCTCTACCTACGCGCAAAGCTGCAGTGCAGCTGAGGAAGGTTGTGACAATTACTGTATTAGGCCTTAGGATTTAGGCTGCTCTTCAGAATTTATCATAAAGAATGGGAAGAAAAATATAACTTCAGAAAAACTTTCTGTAAGATACTGATAACTGCCCTTATAATGAATCTCAGTGTGGACAGAGGATCTGTGCTAATGAAGAGTTTRGAACACAAATTCCTTGTGATAATAAATACTCCWGGCTAAGGTATGCAAGGATCCTTGYTCTAYTTCRTTTAATAAAAGYTTAGAACATTATGTGGCTATTTCATGGTRTAATGGACAGACAGTGAGACTGTAACAGGGGAGAGGAGGAAAAAAGCAATAAACTTCACCTTAATCAAAAATGGTGGATCAGACCACAATGGACCTATGCCTTGTAAGAATAGTGACAGGAAGCTCTACATCTAATGAAAAAGCAGTAAGACTTCAGGTCCTACTAGAACCCTCCCATATTCTTTAAYGTTGGTTGAGACCACTGTAGATCATCATCACCTCTGTCACAGGTCAACTAGAGATGGCAAAGAAGTCAGGCCAAGTCTGATGCTTATATTAGAAAGACTGCCTGTTGCACAATTTTTACTGACAATATCAAAATTCTTTACTATCATTTCAAGTCAGCTTGGATTCCCTAAAGACTGAAAATTAATTGCCAGTAACTAGTCCCAGCTATAGTCAATTTTTATGACAGCTATAAACTAATAAAACTGTGGGCATCATATTGTCAATATGGCATTAGAAGATAGAGGAGCAAGCTTTACCTGTAATCAGAGTACTGGTGATGGTTTAGGGATATCCAGGTTGTTGAGCCACTCTGTTCCATACTTCAAGAAACTCATGTGCAGTGTCCATACGCTATCTAGTGGCTCTGTTGAATATTACATTATCCCTGAATTGCTCTTCTTTCACTTGWGAATTGTAGGACTAAAAAATACTTGAGACAAAACTAGAATTTGTATGTCTCTAACCGCTCCCTAATGAATGTAAGTCATTCTGAGGTCATAAGTGATTAATAAAAAACCCAAAATGGTAGTAAAGCCTGTGTGAATGTGCAGGCAGTCTTGATGGGGACTTCTAGGCAGTCAGTCCTGTCATTAACAGCATTCTGACATGCACTGGTCAAGCTGTTAGGATCTCTCTCTTTCCWGCACAGAGCATGTTCTCATGTTCTCGATTTAGTTCTAAAAAACCTGCTCAGTATAAGAGCGCTTCAAGAACAAGTTTAAGGATCTTAAGTTGGTAAATTCTGCAGTATTTTGTGAGGTAAAAGCAGATAGTCTAAACATTTTAAACTGAGCTCATAGCAGACAGTAATGCAAGGCGAGCGGTATTCTCCTCCAACAGGGAAAGCTAATCTTTATCCCTCGAGATCACGCACTAGGGAGACATGAAGATCACACACAAAAGCAATCTCCTGGTCTTGTGTTTCTGCCAGGGACTTGATTGATCTTTGGTAAAACAAAAACCACTTTCACCTTATTTATCTGTAAAATATTATTTATCTGTAAAATGGAGATTGTACTCTTCTATGGAAGCTAAAGCTGTGCTCTAGTTGATGAGTACTACCAGCTAATGAGCTGTAAAGCTTGTATTTTCTGTATTTTATATATATGAAACAGGAAATATTGTATTTACATATGGCCTGTACCAGCACATTTAGCAGTATCATCTGAGCTATAACTAGCACACAAATTATTTATATTGGGAAAAAAAAGAAGTCTGATTCACCATTATTCTYAGCAATTTTGCACTTTTCTACTTAATAACTGAGAAACTCTAGACAGCTCTTCACTTATCTTCAATTGTATTTAATTACAATTCATTGTATTTAATATATAATACAACAATTGTATTTAATATATGCGTATTTGTTCTAGGAAGCTGTGTAAATACATGATGATGCAGATTTCAGCTTGGCTAACTTTTCTTTAACTGTTCTTTCTAGGAAAAGAGAAATTTTGTTCTTCACCCATATTAAAGGTGCCAGTTTTGTTCTCCATTTTCAGTAAGTAATTTTTCTATTTATACACACTTCTGAACCCTAAAAACAAGTTTTTAATAGGTGGCAAATAATGTTCACATTACCAGCATTTATTGCAATGATTTTCAGTATAAATCTTCTATGGTGCATGTCTTTTGCCACATACAATAGCAGTTAAAATATGCATATAAACATATGTATATGAATGCACTTACAGGTGGTTGAGAGATGAGAAAACTGTGTGTAAGAGTCAGTTCCTTGGTCATGCCCTTTCATCTCAAATAAACCCAAAACTCAGAGCCTTATATATTGTGGTGATTTTGGCTGGCAGAGTTCATTTTCTTCATAGTAGCTAGTACAGAGTTGAGTTTTGGATTTGTGCTGRAAACACTGTTGATAACACAGGGATTTTTCATTCCTGCTGCGCAGAGCTTACAGAGTCCAGGTCTTTTCTGCCTTTCATGTCACCACACCAGTGAGAGGTGCACAAGGAGCTGAGAGGACTGAGCCAGGACAGTTCAAAGGGATAGTCCTGAGCATATGGYGTCATTCTCAGCCTATAAAGCTGAGGGGGATGGAAGAAGAGAGGTTGACATGGTTGGAGTAATGGCATTTATCTTTCCCAGCAACCCTTATGTGTGATGGAGTCCTGCTTTCCTGACACCCACCTSCCCATGGGAAGGTGTGAAGAAATTCCCTATTTTGCTTTGCTCACTSACACTCAGGGCTTTTGCTTTATCTGTTAAACTGTCCTCATTTCAAGCCCCAGGTTTTCTCACTCTTACCCTTCCGATTCTCTCCACTGTCTGACCAGGGRGAGGGACTGGCTCTGTGGTCCCTTGCTGCCAGCTGGGGTTAAACCACAAGAGCAATGAGTATATAAGAGTTGACAGGGCTACAGGCAACCTGCTTAAAGTGCTCAAAGCTGAGCAGCTTAACCTTTTCTGCCCTCTTAGCCACTAGCATTTCCTACACTTTTTTTCTGATTCAACATTCACCCTAGATCACTCAGCCTCAGAAGGGTACATTTGATTAAAAAAAAAAAAAAAAAAAAGCTTTAACAAATAATTTTCTTTTAACATGATTGCGAGAGATGGGCTTAAAAACACATCAGCAAATGAGGTACGTTTCTCACTACGACTTATAGCCTTGTGTATCCTATCAGCATGCACAAACCCCAACTTAATTTTATTGCTTGTACAACCCACACAAATCCAGCCACAAAGGTTTCAAAATAAATAACTAGTAGAAGAAAAAAAATCAGACACTCAGGCTTCATTGCACAAACATTTAAACAGAGGAAATAATTTCTTTTACAAATGTGTTTCTCTTGTATAAGAATAATTTTGTATAGAAAATAGCTCTTTATACATTTTACAGAAATAGGCTAACATTTAGATTCTTTATTAATGAATAATCATTGAATGTAATTTAAGATTTCAGTTATGTTTCAGTCACCAAACACCAATAACACAGCAATACATCACTGCTCTAATATYCTTAAACAGCTTGACTTATCAACTATTAAGTCAAGACAGTGAAAACATTCCTAGAGCCATGATAATTTGCAAACACTCAAGTAGCTTGAAACTGTTAAGTTATGGAATATCTCCCAAAAGTATACCATACTTTCAGGTATGTGTCAAGGAATATGAACTTAAACCTTAACAAGGCAGCATTACTTGCTCACTCCTGCTGGCTAATACTGTAAAACCCAAATTGAACAAAAGCTTTAATATTGAACCGGTTTACTGTTAATGTGACCTTCATAAAACTCCTGRAAGATGGGATGCCATCCAGAAGGAACTGTACAAGCTCTAGAAGTGGGTCCATGAGAGTCTCATGAGGTTTAACAAGACCAAGTGCAAGGCACTGCACCTGGGTTGGGATGACCCCTGGCATCACCACAGGTTGGGGGATGAAGGGATTCAGGGCAGCCCTGCTGAGAAGGACTTTGGGGTGCTGGTGGGTCAGACATGCCACAACAATGTGGCATGTGTGGACATGCCACAAAAATGTCCACTCCCAGCCCAGAAAGCCAACCATGTCCCAGGCTGCATCCAAAGCAGCGTGGGCAGCAGAGGGGGGAGGGGATTCTGCCCCTCTGCTCCCCTCTGGTGAGACCCCACCTGGAACACTGCATCCACCTCTGGGGACCCCTGTACAGGAAGGACATGGACCTGTTGGAGCAAGTCCAGGGGAGGCCACCAAGCTGATTAGAGGATGGAGCACCTCTCCGACAAGGCTAAGAGAATCGGGATTGTTCAGGCTGTAAAAGAGAAGGCTTTGTGATGACATAATTGCAGCCTTCCAGTACCTGAAGGGARTCTACAGCAGTGATGGAGAGGGACTCTGTACAAGGGTATGTAGTGACAGAGGCTAGGTTTAGATTACATTTGGAAGAAATTCTTTACTGTGTGGGTGGAAAGGCACTGGAACAGGTTGCCCAGAGAAGTTGTAGATGGCGTAACCCTGGACAGGGAGCACCCTGAGTAACCTGGTCTAGTGAAAAGGTATCCCTGAGCATGGCAGGGCTGTTGGAACTGAATGATCTGTAAGGTCCCTTCCAACCAAGGTCATTTGATGAGTCAAAATGAGATAGCAAAAGCTACTCTAACAAATGCTATACAGCATTAACACAACATATAAATGTAATAAAAATACTTTCATTTCTTAGGAAAATGTGGAAGGTAGATGAAAAAAACCCAGTAAATTAAGATATAAAAAGTAAATTTGTAGAGGACAAAAAATTGAAAACCACAAGTATATATATTTATATGTAAGGTATGCTAGGAAGTACCTATATTTAAAAATACTCCATTTATTCAAAAAGACTGTTTGACTGTTATGATGTCATGTGGAAGTCAAACGCAGCCCACATTCAAATGCTTTTCCCCTACAACTGCTGTTTCAAGCACYTGTACTTATCTGCAGATTTCCTTGTAAATTAAGAGAGAAGGTAAAGACATTTATCATTGGAATAACTATATGCAGTAATAATTTCTTGCTTTCTAGGTATCATTTTAAATAGAAGATATAAGCAAATAAGTACTGTAACCCAATGACTGCAAACCTGAAATTTAGATGCTAATGATTCCGTTAGTATTCACACAGAGCTACTTAGGAGTTTGCCAGCTGTATCCTGTGTGAGTACTGTTGACACTTCCATGCTTCGCAATTCAAATGTGTAGGTACATTTTAGTCAAACATGGCTCTCACTCCAAGTTAGCAGCCTTTTAACACATAMAACTTTCAAATAAATTCAGCTGGAACTGGTACACCTCTCCTTCTCACAGCACAAAGGTTGATATGAGACAGTAATGAATCACATTATACTGGTTCACATTTTCATGTGGTTAGAAGGAGAAACAAACACCTTATTCCAGTGATTTTGCAAATTCTGCATAGTCGATATATCCGTCATTGTTCTTGTCATCATCTCTTAAGACATCATCTATTAGACTAATCAGCTCTTCTTCCTTCATTGCTTGGGTATGCTCACCACCTTCCTACAAAAACAAAACCACATTRAACCGTTTAGAAGTTTTTCCCATCTAGTAGCACATATGACAGATTACTGACAACTCATCTTTTACTAAGCTGTTCATGTTTGGTGCCTAATTTGGCACTAAGTTTTATGTAATCACTTTTAACAATATAAGCAAATTTCATCAGGTGGGCGCTATGAAGTCAAAGTTCTCTGGACTTCAGAGCAAGCATTCTGCAGTCAATATTCTTGGTCAGAAGTTCCAAAAGCTGAATAGCACAATGTACAATGATGGACAATCATCTAATAGATGTACTCTTAGGATTTTGATGTAGTATAGACACTGTAGTTTCTATACAGTACGGAAACATCTTACAGTAACACAGAAGTGAAAAAATCCAACACTGTAGCTTAAAGTCAGTAAAAATCTTAGTAACAGYCCTTATGGGAATACAAAGAGGTGCCTCTGCACAAGAAACAGCCAATCATTATTCTGTTCTTGGCTCAGTACTTTTTGCCACAGGTTATTAGCAGGAAGTTGTATTATTCTGAATTGTAACTTCCAGAAGGTCAATATGAGATAACGTGTTTCTATTGTGTTGCTAATGACTGGAAAGAGAATTTGAGTTTAGGAAAAGGCAAACTATAACAGGTTCTTCTAATACAAACTTTGTGCAAGCGGTTTCTTATAGTTTCTGTATACACAGCAGTATCAGTCTGAAGCTGAAAACAGTGCCATATCATATGATATTTCTACAAATCSTCATGCCCCATTTGGGATTATTTCCCTTTCCTCCCATCCCTACCTTCCAAAGTAAGCCCTCTGTAAAATAATTTTCACTCTGGAGCCCTTCCTCATTCTAAAGTTTAAACTAAAATGGAAGCTTCCTGAAAACTGCAGGATGACATGAACAGCTGKGATAATGTACATTTATAAATTCAACCAGAACTCAGGAGAGTTCAATCAGGAGAAAAACAGTCTCATTTTGAGGCAAAACTGTGACTGCACCAAAGATGTGTTGCAACTGTTCTGCTGCTTTTAGAGTCATAACGGTTTCCAAGCAGACATGCCATTACGAAACCACACCAACCTCTTTGTGGACATGTGAGATAGCAGTAGCAAGCTCCAACCCATCTAGCAAATTATTGCCATCATAATCATGCATTTTGAAGTAATGAAGCTGCAACTCTTGTGGAGACATCTCAGATTCTGGTTTCTCAATAACGCCTTCCAAGTGTTCCATGATGTGTCTAAGAAAAACAAACCCCATAACATTTCCAACAGTTAGTATTTAATGCTCTGTTTACAGCAAATTTTGTCTTTGATCAAATATTGYATATCTAAAAGCACCCTAGACAACTAAAAACTACAGTTTGATACTAGGCAAAGGGAGCATAAAGGTTGTTTGTTACTGGGGCTGTAGTGGCCTCTATTATTTTAGATAGTTATTTCTATTTCTTCTGGCCTACTTATCAGGCTATCAAAACAACTGAAGCAGAGTCCAAAATCTCTTTTTGGCTGTCCTCCAAAGCACGGGAACTGGAGGAAGATCTTATCCAGTCAACCATGAAGTGTTCTAGGGAGTTTCATTTGCTGCTAGAACTGTTCTGCATTTATGAGGAAGAAAATGAGAAAATAAGCTCCAACTCTACCTGTTAAGACTATGGTTTTGTCTAAAGTGTACTAATATAGSTAAGTAGGATTTCTGTAAGAAATTTTTTATAGCATTAGTAGGGTTAAAGGCTCCAGAGAGACATTTCTAGGACTCATATCTGTACAAATTTATCAAGCAAGCMTGTCTCATATCTGGCTTTAGCTAGTCATACAACATTCTGAGAAAACAGGGTGCCCTAGGCTTAAGTCCAACTCACATAACAACACTTTATAGATAAGAAAATCATTAAGAAGTAAAGTTTATGCTTTTAGAACATAGAACACATACTCTTTATCTTGTACCAAATTCTTATCAAGGCGAATATTTGGATGCTGAGTCTCTCCTACGTGTTCCTCAGCTAGGGCAGAGATGAAGAACGCAGCCAGAAAGCAGAATAGCAAATGTGTTCTAAACATCCTTTGGGCCATTGTGATCTCCTACAAAAATGAAAACATCCCCCATAAAAAAAAAAAAAAAAAAAAAAAAGATGAAAAATGCAATCTACTTTCGGCAAATTTAGAGAGTGCTTAGCAACCCTGCTAAGTTTCAGAATAGAAAAACTTGCTGCATTTGAAACTCTTGGAAAGCAGAGAACCAGAGAGCTCCAATTAAGAGTTTTTATGAGGGTCGCTATTTTAGAGAATTATGCAGTAATTTTCAGATGCCTTTTTTTTTACCCTCATAGCAAATATGCACACCTTAGCCATGCTTGGGTTTTCATATACCTTCTCCACAACCAACGAACCATACCCGCCTCAGGCAGACTGCCCCACAGCTACGGGAGCAAAGATCGTTTGCGGTATCGAAGCGGCTCCATCTAATTAGCAGTTCTCTTAAGACTGCTTTCCCTAAGGGAAGCACGGCTTGGAAGACGTCATGCAGCCATGCATGTGCTCACTTCAGGGCAGGTGACAGGGTGCACARCTTCAGAGCGAAGCTTCAGGGCCGAACGCGCTGCCGAGGGGAGCCGAGGCACGGGCCAGCTGCTTCCACTCCTCTGTTCTTCTCCCGGCCCCAGTTGAAGCACCCCCAGTTCCACCGATACAGCGCTGGCCGCCAGCCAGGCTCCCACCCTCGGCTCCCCGCCTGGCTGGATCCCCGAAAAAGCGACACCGCAGCGGGACGGGGATGGAGCTGGGCCCGCCGCCCCCCACCCAGGCCGCAGCACCCCAGGCCGCAGCACCCCAGGCCGCAGCACTCCCCGCTCCAGCACCAGCTGTCGCGGCGGGCGGAGAAGCCCAGCCGCCGCCAGACTACGCACCGTCGGGCGGGTCTCGGGCGAGCCGCGGGCTCCGGTCTGGGCGCAGGCTGCACACCATGGCCGGGACACCATCCCGGGATCACCCCTGACCCGGCGCTGCCCCGCCCCCCCCGCCCGCCCATTGGCCGCCCCGCGCCGCCCCGCCCCGCCTCACGCAGCGACGTCACCGCTCCCGGAGCTCCACGTGGAGTCCTCGCGGCAGCGCAGGTGCGGCGGAGTCCCGCCCACCGCGGGGAGGGGCCGGGCGCGCGCGTCCAGGTGTGCGCGCGGGGCTGGGATCCCGGTGGGCACCACAGTGTCCATGAGCCAGCAGTGGCCAAAGGGGCATGAGGAAGAGCATTGTCAGCAGGTCAAGGGAGCTGATCCTGCCCCTCTGCTCAGCCCTGGTGAGGCCTCATCCGGAGTGCTGTGCCCGGTTCTGGGCTCCTCAGGACAAGAGAGACATGGAGCCCCTGGAGCAGGTCCAGCGGAGGGGAACAGAGGTGATTGAGGGACCGGAACATCTCTCTTATCAGGAAAGGCTGAGGGAGCTGGGCCTGTTCAGCTTCAAGAAGAGAGGACTGAGAGGGCACTTTATCAATGCATACAAGCATATATAAATACAGTGTATGCAAGGCCGGGTGCCAAGAKGATGGAGCCAGACTCTGCTTAGTGTTGCTGAGCAATAGGATGAGAGGCAATGGGCAGAAACGCATTCACCTGAACATGAGGAAGAACTTCTTTACTGTGCAGGTGACTGAGCACGGGAACAGATTGTCCAGAGAGGTTGTGGAATCACCATCAATGGAAATACTCAACTGCCTGGGTGCAATTTTGTGTCGTGCTCTAGGATGACCCTCAATGAGCAGGGGACCTTGGACCAGATGATCCACTGTGGTCCCTTGCAATCTGATCCAWTCTGGGCACGATTAGACCTCACAACCCAGTCCTTTGATGCAGAGAACTCCCTTCCAGAGGATGCATTGGAGGGATCCCTGGGCGGAACCTAGAAAGAAGGCTGAACTGGTGGCAGKGGGGGCCAGTGTGTGTCCCACTCCTAGTGCAGTCCCCAGCCCCTGCTCCGGTTGCTTTCCTCTAGCCCCATCCACAAAGGACTRCCCGGTTTCCTGCCCTGCTGCTCTAGTGGGAGCTGCCGTGCTCGCTCCCCAGTGCCCACCGCCGTTTATAAACCGTGTGTGTCCTGCTCTTCCCCTCGCACCACACGACACAGGTCTCGCTGTTTCCATACTGGACGCTTACACAGCCACCGCTCTGGCTTCTCGAGGTCCTCTCGGAGCAAGCTTCGGCTCCGGGGGGTCTTTGGGCCCGTTCCTCACGCACCCTCCGGGTATTTCGTGCAGAAGTTGCCGCTGGAGCGGGGCGGTGGCCGTGGGGATGAGGCGGCAGAGAGCCCAGGGGTTCAGGTGACCGCCGAGAGCGGCGGCGGGGAGAGCTGCACCCGCGGCCCGTCTCGCCCACGCAGGGCGCGAGGGGCCAGGCCCGCGGTGCCCGGACAGCGCCCACCCGTGCGGGACGCGGTGCCCGGGCGTCGGGCGAGAGGCGTCAGGGAGTGGCGGCCGTGGCGGAGTCGCCGTGCCGGGCCGCAGCCCTCGGGCAGGGCGTCCCGGCCTCCCCCACTCCCCGACACCTGGCGGATCCGCGGCCCCGCCGGCGCCTCCCGGGCGCTGCGCTGGGGACTCCCCGCGGGCCGGGGCGGGGCGGGCCCGTCCCGGCGCTAAGATGGCGGCCAAGGGCTCGCACTCGCACGTGAAGCTGGAGGCGGAGATCGAGCGGTGCCGGGCGGAGGGGCAGTGGGGGAGGCTCCGCGACCTCGCACAGCAGCTGCTGCCGTCGCGGCCCCCGCGCAAGGCGAAGGCGGCGAGGGGCGTGCAGGACGCGGGTAAGCGGCAGCAGGGGGCGGCTGAGGCGGACGCCGGTACCGACCCGCCCGGGCGCGGCGCGGGGCGGCGGCGGCGGCGGGGCCGGCTGCTCGCTCCGTGC